CTTACGTCGTCATTTTCCTTCGCCTTTTCCACATGTTCATTAACACTGCGATGACTCCTTGTCTATCACTTGCTCGAAAGTTGTAGAACCGCCATGTTGCTGCAGCAGGAACGCCTCGAGCTGTTGACGACCTCTGCGCATGTGTTCGACCGTATTGGCGGCTCGATCACACTCTAAAGCGTCCAAGAAGCAGCACAACTCGTCAGAAAGACGAGCAGCAGGAGCAGCAAAGGCAGAACACGGTGGAGACTTCGAGGCCATGGCGCTGTAGACGAATGCGCAAGACAGAAGATCGTCAAGTGAGCTTCTGTTGCGCAGCAACAATTTGCGTGACCATCACTCAAACAGAACTCGCTACAATGACATTTTGAGTGACATTGAAGTTGCTTTTATTTTTTAGCAGCCGGTTCCTCCAGCAATACGCAGACACGAGGTTGACGGGAAGATGGACATGATGTTGACCATAGTGGAGTACACGAGGGCGAAGGCGAAGTAGGCGATTGTCATCAAACCAAGAATGCGGCTTGAGCCCCCGTTGCGCTTGAGTTCATTGGTCTCGGCCTTCTGCTTGGGCAGCAGTGGCAGGAAGAGCAGACCGGCCAGATTTATGGCATAGCGAATGATGAGAATGTAGGTGACTTCCCAACGCACGTGAGTAGTGTCACTGGCAATATCTGCGTTGGCTACATCGAATGCACTGTCCACATTCTTAGTGATGGTGCTGGCGAAAGGAATAGCGAGGTTGGAGACGGATCCAACCACTGGTTGGTTGGCAACCAGACCGTACACCCTCATTGCCGTCCTCAGCCAGCTCCACGACCACGTACGTTCCAATGACAAAAGCCAAACCACTCGGAAGGTTTTCCACGACCGGAACACCCAGCCAGAACCACTGGTTACGAATGACATCCCACGTTGTGAGGAGCGTCACAAGAGAGTCCAACACAGTCACAGCAACGATCATAGTGGCGTGCATCCACCGCCAGTTCCAGTGGAGACCATACTTGCCCTTGCAGTAGAGGGTAAGAGCGAAGATGCCGTTACCAATAATGGCAAGAGTTTTCTCGTTTAGCGGCGTGACGCCAGCCCAGTAGTCCTGCATGGCCGACGACGAAGTGATCGTGAAGCTTTCGAAAATGCCGGAGAAGAACTTGTACGCAATGACCTGGTACATCGGACGCGTCTGAATGAGGATCCAAAGCTCCTTTAGGTAGGTACTAAACACCATACCCTCATGCTTCTCCTCTTTAATGAAATACCACGTGAGAGGCATAACGGGTAGACACGCGACAGTAAGAATGATCATGAGCTGTGGGAAGCTCAATGAGAAGTCGAAATCACCACCATAGTGAGTGCCGTTGAACGCGA